TYYATAGYCTTWYACCAAATATCAGRTACTCTGGAACRTGTGAGCYACCMAWAGTTYCTGAGCAAACAAGGAGTTCATTAGACGGTGGAATTCAATAGCTGGATGCAGACACAGCATCTGGGTAGCCCTTTTAATCTAAAATGTAACAGGAAAARGAGCATAAATAGAAGAACCTGAGGTTTGTTCCAATTTCTGCAAGTTCAGGGGACTCTTGAGTAGTTTGGTTTCCAGTTCAAGTCCTGAGACTCAGATGTTCAGGCTCTGTTGTAACATTATCAATGTCCTGATCTCTCCTTCAGCACTGGTAACAGATCCTAATTTGCTGGCAGCCATTCCACTGTATCCTAATGTAACAAATCCTAATTTGTTGGCAACGGTTCCACCGAATCCTAATATAACTTGGTAGGAAACTTGTCATTAGAGGATTTTTTTGYCAGTCAAGTCTGGTGACCTCTGTGAAATGTGGATGCCAAGGATACTGCTTTATGTGTAGTTTTATATATTTGAGTAAACTGTATTTATTACAGTGGAATTGTGACTGTCATCCAGAGAGACAGAAATACTTTCTAAATCTGGCCTCATTCCTTTCTTTTTGTATTTCTCTTCTATCTCTTTATGCTCCAGATATTCAGTTGTTTTCATTTCATTTTCCCAAGGASCAGGAAAGGTTTCCTTTGTGCCCCATATGTTTTGTCAGAACCTCTTCTSAGGAGTCTGCAGTGGCTCTCTGGTGACTCAGGGATTGCACTGTAACACTGATAAGATAATGTTTAATCATGTATTCTAAAGCGGGAGATTTGGGTCACGGGATTAGTTTGTTAGGAAGCTTCAATCAAGAATATATTAATTAGAATGCATCCTGCATCCAGCCAGATGTTTGAATTACTAGACAAAACGGAATTTTGGATGCAGAGCACTGCAGAAAACAAGATACTTACATTTTTAAAGCAGTACCTGTGGATTTAGGTTGAAAGTGGGATGCCAGCRTGGGGCAGTGATCTCACAAAAACTCCTTTTCCCTTATTCTCATCTCCCAGTTTGTTCAACTGGGGAGTTGAGTTCATATTCCTGCTTTAAAGTTTAATAAATTGGGGAAGAAAACAAACTTTTTGGGTTTGTTTTTTAGGACACAGAACAATTTCCATGTTTTGCTGTTGCAGGGATAGACAGTCGATACAATGAAGGGTGCAGGGAGCTGGCAAATTATCTGCTCTTTGGTTTGTACAACCAGAACAACAACGACTTCGAAAGGACAGGCTTTCCTGAGGAAGTTCTGGATGGTGAGTGACTGCTCAACATTTTKACTTGGTCTGGATGGCAGATGAGTAGAAAAAGGGACATAGATTTAAAAAAAAAGTCATTAAATCTCTAGTTGTCTATATACACTTGAAATAGCCTTTTTAAAACACCATTGAAGAATTCATTTTTAAACATAGGAAGATAAATCCTCTATGTTTTATGCTCCACAAGTTACCTCAAAAGTTGTAAACTTAAACAATTACAGTCCTTTAGTTTACTCATGGTATGCATGTGCACTGTATTAATGAATGTGTGCTCACACCTCTGCAGTTCTAAAGCACTTGAGCTCTCTTTTACTTCAGCTCAYGAACTCACCTTTGTCATATTTGGACGTTGGCCAATCACTGTGATCACAGCTTATTATTCCCTTATTTGCATGAAACTTTTGGATATCTASCCCGCAGGCTGTGGTGGTGTTAGTTTTGAGTTGGAGCAGCTTTCTGATGTAATGTCAGGCAAGAGCAGCTGGAGTTGAGAGTTCTGGAATTGCTCTGGGACTGCTCTTCCCGACCCTCTTGGCTGCACAAAGGACAGGCTGATGCAAGTTCTGTGCAAGACTTGGGAATAACCCCACAGTTGTCTGGAACAGTAACAAGTGCTCTTGTGCTTGGAGCTGCATGTGGCTGCCAAATGTTTCTTCTTGTTGTTTGAAAGGAATTAGGAATTGCAGTGCATTCAGATAGTTGAACAATTTTCTTTTTTAATGAGGTACATGGTAGAAAAAAAAATGTTTTCTGTTTGGTTCCTTTTCTGTGAGGAGTCCTGATGCTTGAATATTTGTTCTGCTTGTTGCAGATATAATCATATTAATAAAACCTGACAGTGTGCATCTGTACTGCAACCCTGTGAATTATAATCATCTTTTGCCCTATGTGGCACACTGGAGGAACTTGCATTTCCACTGTCTGACTGAAAATGAGGTAAGTGAAAAATGAATGCAGACAAGGATTGCTAATGGACTTGTTAATGAACTGCTCCTTAAAGTGAAACTTCTTTTTTTAAAATCTTTTCAGAAGCTTTTTTTTCTCTTCCCTCCTCAGCAGGGGAGTGATCTGTGTGTGTATCTGGGTATTAATCATTTGCTAACGTGTGCAAGAAGAATATGTTGTCAATACTTTTATTTGTTGGAGCGTGAAGACAAATTGCTCCTCTCTCCCACTAATTGCTATTGTTTGGACATGAGTCAGTGATCTTTTAATGAGGAAAAAAACCTGGGTTGTGAGAAATGTAAAATTGGAATCAAGTATCACAGTCAACATGGAGATTTCCAACAGCCTTGTTTGCTGCCAAAGCAGTGTTTGTATTGGTTGCCAGTAGTTTTAGAATATTAGAAATCAAGAAACTTCATTATGTGTTTTCATTTTAACTATTGAATCTTTCTTTCAAGAACTATTAACCTCACTTTCATTACATCCCATGACTGATGTGGGTTTCATCTTGAATTAAAGGTCAAAAATACTCTAGAAAAATTCTGTTTATTGTCGTGAGGTATTTTCAGAGGAGTRAAAAATGAAAATACTGTTTGGGTGTAGAATAAGGGCCTTTTCATTCCATTTGAGACTGGAAATGCTTCTTCCTACTCTGAGTTTTGTGTAATTCCTTTTCTAAGTTAGAGTTGTACTGAATTCTGCAGGGAGTGGGTTTGGAACCTGTGATGTTGGTGGGTGAAGCCAAAGGAAGAATGAATGGGAAAGTCAGGGAGAGAACCCTTCTGTTCCCTTGAGTTTCCAGCTTGAAAACTTTGGGGCTTATGATAGATTGGTTGTGTTTATATTGGCTGGTTGATAGCTTAGATCACAGAATTAGGAAATAATTCAGGTTATAAGGGACCTCTGGAGATYRTCTTGTCCAACCTCCTGCTTYAGTGGTGAGATCAGACCAGGTTACTCAAGGTCTTTTTGCAGCTGGGTGTTGAAAGCATCCAAGGCTGATGACTCCACAATTTCTSCTCCATTTTCCCACTGTCCTCAAAGTGAAAAAGTGTTCTTGTCAAACCCAAACCTWTCTTGTTTTAAATCCTGCCCTTTGTCATGACCATTGTGGAGAACCTGGCTTCACCACCTCAGTAACATTTTGGTGGCTTTGAATTCCAGATATTGAACAAACCTGGATCACTCCTTCTGGAAAAATTCTCCATCCCACTGATTGTGGTGACCCTTCACTGAACTTGCTCCAGTTTATAAATGCCTGTCTTATCCATGAGTCCCAAAACTTGTGGAAACAGTTCCCTGAGTGCTGCAGAGAGGGATAATTCTTGCTAGGATAGAACAGCCAAGCTCCAGGTTAAAACATGCCACAACAAAACCTAAAACCTGGCTTCACAAGGCTTTTCTGTTGCCAAAATCCTGCTGAAAGGGCAAATCTGATGGTGGGAAAACACGTGCTCTTTGAAATCAGGAGTGGGGTACTTCTTACCACGCAGTTGCCACTGCAGCTGCAATCTCAGCTATTGAATTTTAAGCTTCATCTGCTTATGGGCTTTGATATGATTTATCGTGGTAAGCAGGAACCTTAATCACTCAGCGTTGGCTCGAAATAATGATGTAACTGGCAAGGTTAAACCATGCCACTTGTTCTTTGTGGAAATGAAGGGAAAAGTGTGATTTTGGAAGTGGAAAATACAGTTTTAATTCCTTGCTGTTTGATGTGAATGAGCTTCAGTCACATTCCCAACGTATAAGAATTGCCAGTTTCCTAGATTAGTGCAGAAAGACAAAATGTTGCTGTGTCAGGCTTTAAGTGCATCCTGTTTACAGGAGAATTCCCTGCAGTGGCTTTTAAGTACTTTTTTTTAGTGATAGAAGTAACTTCATAACAAAGATGCCAAAAAACTGCCAGAATTTTAGAAATAGATAAAGCAGTGCTGTACCTGGCTCTGGCAAAACATAGAACTTCTCCTTCCTTTTTTCCTTCCTACCTGCTTCAACCAGACCACAGGAATTTTAGTGAATATCCTAATCTTTAAAAAAAAACACCTTTATTTTTAAGAAATGCCCTTGTTCCAAGTGGCCAGATAGGATAAAATACTGAAATTCGATGCAGTAAATTTTGGGTTGTGTTTATTCCTGCAATAGCAGATTGTCAGCAAGCCTTAAGCACCTCTCCAAAACCCCAGTTCTTATTCCAACGGCATTTTAAAGTCCTGAGAAACTGGCAGTTGTTTGGGGCTTGGCTTTGAGCTGCAACTTTGATCTGGCTTTCTGGGATTGAAGAAAGAACAAACCACGGATGAGCTGGGGCTGCATCTTAAATTCAGGCTTGGCTTAAAAGAACTTATTCTCAAAATAAATGTGCTGGGTGTACCCTGAAGCTCGCAGAAAGTTCATAATCATGTAATTTGCCTTGATAAGAAGTTCAGAGCAGTGCTCATARAAATAAAATAAAATAAAATAGGCAAAACACTGCTGCCTTCTGATCTTGCTCCAGAAAACAAGTGGCTCTTGAAGAAGCCAGCAGGGCTAGACCTGGTGGTTCCAGACTTGCTGCTAAGCTGTGCCTTTTCACATCAAAGTCACTGTGTTTTCAGGTTTAAAAATTATTTTGGTGTGATTTGCCTCTTCAGTCTGGTTTTTRTGCTKTTTTGAGTTTGGGTATTTGTTCTTCAGTCTGCTGAAGTCTTCAGCTCAGTGTTGCAGGAAGGTTTCTCCTCTTCTTTCCTCCACCTTTTTCTCCATTTTACTTCTCCCTCAGACAGAAACTGGTTCTCATTGCTTAATCTGTGACCTGAGGCTTATTCTGTCATTGATTTTCCTTGCTCAGTGTTGTTTAGCTGGTAATACAGTATTTTATTTTTATTTTTTTTCCCCTCAGTGACATGTTTCTCATGGCACATCTGTTGATACCCTCAAAATAACTTTTATCTTTCAAATCTCGATGTTGAAAGACTTCACTGAAAGTTGAAAATGAAGTCTATAATTATTCCTTCCATCTATCATTATTGAAACCCTTGCTCTGAAGTTTGATTTTTTTTTTTTTCAATTTCCATGGGATTGATTACATCCCTGCCATGATGGGATTTCCAAAATATAGAGAATAAAGATGTTCTTGAGCTTCTGGAGGTTGTAGGTGATATTTCAGTGGTTTACATACTGCATTTTCTCTTCACTACCAATCAAATTAGGGCGTGCCTAATGCAATTTGATTTTAAATKACTTCTTTCAGTATGAAGATGAAGAAGCTGCAGAGGAATTCAAGATTTCCAGCTTTGTGGACATGGTCCGGGATTGCAGCCGCATCGGAATCCCCTACAGCTGCCAAGGTAGGCTGGATTATGCTCAGAGTGGGAGTATTTTGCACCCTGCAAATTCAGGSAATAAAGATTTCCTTGCCTTTGGTAAAACATAATTAGTGTGTCGATWGCTTCCTTTTAGCTGTTGTTTCTTAAGTTGAATTTCTTTCTGAGAACTGGAAGCCCTCAGAGTTCGTCTGGGGAGCAAATGCCCCCAGCGTGAGGCAAAGAAATGATTTGCATTCAGAGAAGTGTCCTGAGCTGCTACAGAAGTTCTCTGTTCCCATGGGAGCTCCAGATAAATCCTCCTTTATGTAAGGGGAGAATAAACATTTCTTTATGCAAGTTTCCTTTTTTAGTACTGAAAAAAAAAATCCTGCCCTGCACGGCTTCCTGTTGGGATCTGGAGCCAGCCTTGAGCCTCAGCAATTCAATCTTGTGTTCTTTTTTTATTCCTAATTYTTTATTGCTTCCCTTAGGGAAGGGTGATAGGCTCTGGAAAATCATTAATGGCTCCTGGGGTTCTGTGTTAGGAAGGATGTGAAGAAATTGTGTAGCTTAAGGCTGATAATGACACTTCAGATTCTTTGCWGCTACACCAGGGAATGCCAGGATGAAAAATTTTCATCTCCCCCAACTTAAAATTCTGATKAAATGGGGATGGTGGAAGAAATTCTTCYCTGTGAGGGTGGGRAGGCTCTGGTRYRCRGTGCCCAGAGAAGYTGGAAGTGTCCAAGGCCAGGTTGGATGGGGCTTGGAGTAGTCTGGGATAGTGGAAGGTGTTTCTGCCCATGGCAGGGGGTGGAAWGAGCTGATCTTCAAGGTCCCTTCAACCCAAACCRTTCTGKGATTCTGTGATCTTGACAGTATTTTACTTCAGGTCAAGTATCTGAGGAGGAACTGGAGTAAGCAAAGCTCCCTGTTTATTATCTTGAATTTTAATTATTAATTGTCTGGGAATGAAGTTTGTAAGGGGATATGTAAAATCCTGGGAAAAAGGGACAACATTTAGGAGCTTCTAAAAGCTGCTGTCTGCACAAAAAATACTTTTYGCTTATTTAAGTTGCACAAAGATAGGACAAATAAAACCCTCTGTGAATCCCAGGARCTCAGAGATCCTGAAGTGGCAGGATTTGTGAGGGAATGTTGCTGTGYTCACTCTGCAGGTCACCTGCAGATATTTGACATGTTCATCGTGGAGAAGTGGCCGATTGTCCAGGCCTTTGCACTGGAGGGCATCGGGGGCGACGGCTTCTTCACCATGAAATATGAAGTGAGTGCTTCCCTTTCTCATTTCCTTTCTGAAGCAGAAGTTAGTCACGAAATTGTTTTGTTTGGAAAGTACTTCTGGAGATGATGTAGTCCTGACTCRCTGCTCAAGTGAGCTGCTAAATGGAAGTTTAAAATGTGTTTAAAACTGAGTTTTAATTGTGCCAGGATGGAGACCTGACATTGTTGCTGAGATTCTGTTCTGAGCTACACAGCACTGTTCTGATTAAACCAGGATTATTTGGACATTCTCCTCAGGCCTCTGCTGTGATTCAAAAYTTTTTTCCATCCCTCCTAGAGTCTCCTCTACCAAAATCCAATTTTTTTACCCCTGCTAGATGGGTTACAGATCTTCAAGAGTAGAGCAGGAGGAGCTGCTAATGTCAAAAACCTTGAGATGAGCTCAGAAAAGAAGTAGTGACTGTATTTCTGGGGTCACTGGTTTTGACTGAAGAGATGCATCTCCTTCTGTCTCTGACATTGTATATTCATGGGTCATCATACCCTGCTGAATAGGGCAACAGTCAGGATTTTTTTGCTCCTATATTTAATAATGATTTGMTGTTCCACTCTGAGCAACTTACATCATTGATTTGCCCATTTATTATGCTCTGAACAGCGTTTTCAAATGACAGCTTTGCATTTCTGTACTGGTTTAGAGCTTCTTTTATTTCATTGTCTTGAACCTCTGCCACAGCAATGCAGATGTCCTATTTTTCTTATCACTCCTCCTTTTTTTTTTTTTACAGCCATAAAGGGCTTTTGTCTGACTTTTGGTAGCTGGAAAGCCCCCAAAGAATTAACAGTGCCATTGTTCAAGTCTCATCATATCTAAAATTGTATATGCTTGCTCAGAAATATTTTCTGTGAGTTCATGTGCTTTTTCTGAGCCCTGGTTCCTTTTTTTTTCAGGCTTTTTATCATTCAGTCTCTGGTACTGTAACAGCTCGTGGTGTCAAACTGCCCAAACCATTAAATATCGAGTGCAAACAGATGAGCATCTTTGGGGAAGACAATCAATAGCTCTTCCTGATATCTGAAATGAGTTAATGAAAATTTGACTGGCAGTTCAGGAGTTGTTCAGGTTCTTTAATTGCCCTTTAATTAACCCAGTTCATTTMACAAATCCCTGGAGGCTCTGACAAAATGTTGTGGCACAGACAGGACCTCTCCTGTGCCATTGATGGAGCTGATACTGTCTCCAAACACTCCTGATTATTTCAAAAGGAGCAGGGAAAATACTTGGACTCTTTTTTTAAGAGCTCTCTTGGCTTTGGCAGTCCAGGCAGYTCCAGCTGGAGTTCTTGCTTGCTTCCTCCTTGAAGTCATGAGGGGATTTYAAGTGAGAAATGACATTCTTAACTCTTTACGTGGGTGTTTGTGTGGTTCTGTGTCAGGCAGCTGCTCTGTGTCACTGATGGGGGAGGAAACCAGTCTGGGAGGAAGTGCTTTGGGATCACTGTAAATGATGTATAAATTGATACTTCTGCCCTTATTAAAAGGGAGTGTTTTAGTGCATTTTTAGCTCTCTTTCCCTCTGAGATTTTTCCCTGTGCTGTGTGTTCTCTTAGATTTGAACATAATCGAAGGACGATAATTTCGGACTTATCCCAGTCTTTTAAAGGCAGTTGCTGCCT